CCGGGTTCGATTCCCAGCATCCCATAGGGTAACCCCGATCACCGCCAGGAGTGATTCCTGAGTGCAGAGCCAGGAGTAACTCCTGTGCATCGCTGGGTGTGACCCAAAAAGAAAAAAAGGGCTGGAGAACAGACCTTGCGTTCTGTGAGTTAGAACCCAGGCACTTCAGGGTTCCCCCAAGGACCACTTGTTGTGGTGCTCATGGCCCTAGGCCACCAGGCCTGAGTAGTAAGGGGAAAATTTCCCACATTCCACCCTAAAACAGTTACCAGGCATAGACCCACACACAAGCCAAGGGTCACGCTTTTGACACCTCAAGCAGCAGGGATCAAGAGGTTTGGTCCCGGTCCCTTCTCTGGAAGTAATGGCCTCTCCACCTTCCGGTGAGAGAATCAGATGTGCCGGCCACCTGCAGAGCTCAGGCAGGTTCCCACATGGCTTTGCCAATTGAGAAGACTTGCTGGTGGGGCCTAGAAGTTTCCCAGCTTCTGTCCTCTTGGGGGATCAGTTGCAACGTGAGGAGAAGGCCAAGGCATCTGGAAGCAGATGGAGAGGCCGGAAGATGGTCTAGCATAAAAGGAAGAACACTGACACAAAACTGCAAAATGGGGCTCTCCATTTCCTAGGGAGTGAAAGGATTTTTTTCATTCAAAAAATCATGAGAAGGGAGCTGGAGGTAGGGCGTTTGTGCCTTGCACATGGCCGACCCGGGTTCGATTCCCAGCATCCCATATGGTCCCCCAAGCACCTCCAGGAGTGATTCCTGAGTGTAAAGCCAGGAGTAATCCCTGAGCATCGCTGGGTGTGACCCTAAGAACAAAAAAAAAAAAATTATGAGGATAACCACGTCTCTTCTTCCTTACACAAATGCTTCTCAACTTCATTTAACCTAAACTTTCAAGTCTTACCCCCTCACCACCCTACTAAACAATACTTGTTAAGTCCCATGTACAGCTGTCCACGAGGGCCGGAGACGTCAGTCCTTCCCCCAGCTCTCAACCCAGCTGTGCAGACTTTGCCAGTGGAGCCTTATTTGTCAATCACTTAAGAAATGTATTACAAGGGTCAGGAAAGCAGCACGGTCAGAGTACCTGTCTTCAAGCATGAGGCCTGGGTTTGATCCTGGTACCATGGATGGAAAGGAGGGGGAAAAGACAGGATGGGAGGAGAGGGGAGTGATGAGAAAGGAGAGAAGGGGTTACCTGTCTTGTTAGTCATCAATTTCCCCTGGCGAACACAAAAGACAGACATGGACAAAGGAACCCAAAGTAGCCATCTGAAACACTGATCTGGTCCCTGATCTGGTCCCTACTGGACTGAAGGCTGTTAAGACGTGGGGTCATGTCCAGGAAAACAGTACCCTGCCTGCCTTGCACATGGACAAGCCGGGCTTGACCCTCCCACACCACAGATGGTCCCTGAACCCACCAAGAATGATCCCTGAATGCAGAGCCAGGAGTTAAGCCCTGAGCAAGGCCAGGTGTGGCTTCCCAAAAGAAATAAAATGAAAAATGGGTGCTCAAAAGGGAAACGTCTAAGATGCAAAGTCTGATTAGGCAGTTTCTAGTCTTACTTAGTTTTGAAGAGCAGAATCTCTTATGACGTATCGTGTCCCATTTTCCACACTTAATGTCTATATTCCTGTGGTCAGGAATGAGCCCTGGTAGTGGTCGGGAGATTAAATGTCACGCTGGGGATCAACCAGGACCAGCCGTGACCAGGACAAGGGCTCTAACCCGTGAACTATCTCTCCAGCTCTCTCTTGTTTGCGAAACATTGATCACCCACATAGGAAACATCAGGGTTGTACTTTAATGCTCCCGCTGATCTCCCTACAAAGGTAATAGAATTGGTATCAGTCTTCTGAGAGATGAGACTTCCCCTGTTGACCTCTGATACGTGTTACTTTGTGGAAGAAGCACAGAAGTGTGGCTAAGTGCATCTTTATCTTCCCATTCTCTTTCCCAGTGACAAGCAACCTTGAAATGGTGAGCCCTGAAGATCTGAGAGGGACCTCTGCGGAGTACAGACCCCACACCCCACCACCACCACCTGAAAATCTGGGTGTGTAACAGGAGCGCGAAATGATCTGACTTCTCTCAGCCGTTCATACTGGGAAATGTGTGTTTCCTAGCCTTACATACTTTATATATAATTAACCTCAGTGTTTGTAGATTATCGTGAAGGTATGTTTTTTTTTTTCACGGCAGCTTAAAAAGAGGGAAGGTTAAGTACGCTTAGAAGCTAAAACAGCTGGTTGCAACTTCACTGAATATATATCCTGCTTTGTCTTCTTGCAAAGACTATTTGTGGGATCTTACCAAGTCAAACTAAGTCCTGGCAAACAGAAGAGCTCTCAATACCAATGGAGGACAGATGGGAATGCGTTCAGAGGAAAAACAGGACAGGACAGGACTGTACCTGGACGTTTTGCCAAAAGCCAAAAATGAACTCTTGAATCATGGATCGGTGAAAGAATTTAGAAGTGGGAATAGCACCTGAGCACCTTTGGCCATGGCCCAATGCTCCGGTATCCTCCACTGCCACCATTCAACACAGGAGAGCTGCTAATGATTTTAAAAGCAGAATAAGTCCTGTCATCTGCACAGAAAAATTCCTTGTGACCTCTGCCTTCATTCCGTTCCAGTGGTCCTCACTTTCCAGTGTATCTACTGTGGACATTATATACTCACTCCAAGGAGATTTAGTGTTTGGAATAGTTTCTTCTGCAGAATTTAAAAGTTAACTTACTAAGGATGTGACACGACATCATTTAACTGATACTAATATCTGAGTTAGTGACTTCATTAGTAATATCATTTAAAAATATTTTACTGTCTCATTTTAAATTTTTTCACTTTTATTGCAATATTGGGCTAGAGCAATAGCACAGCCAGTAGGGTGTTTGCCTTGCACATGGCCGACCCGGCCGACCCGGCTTCAATTCCTCCGCCCTTCTCGAAGAGCCCGGCAAGTTACCGAGAGTATCTCGCCTGCATGGGAAGGCCTGGCAAGCTCCCCGTGACGTATTCAATATGCCAAACACAGTAACAACAAGGTCTCACGATGGAGATGTTTACTGGGCCCGCTCGAGAAAATCGATGAACAACGGGAGGACAGTGACAGTGACGCTGACGGTGAATGTCTATGTAGGTTCAGGAACACACCGGGTTCAAAATTCTAGCTACATTCTATCTCATCTCACACATATAAATGCAAAGAAGACTCTAGAAAAGACCAAAGATAAATCACTAGGCCAGAAACACAAGATCCATTTGTTTTATTGAATGCAAACGATCTCTAAAATAGTCCTCAAAATAGGCAAAATAATTGACAACCCTGAGGGAACTGAGAACCAGAAAGGCCGAAGGTGGGTCCTGCAGTCCCAAGGCTGGGGTGAGCACTTCCTGCGTGCGAGACGGGCACGTGGCCCTGGCCTGAGATGCGGCCACAGCTCGCCGAGGCTTCCCTGCAGCACTGGCTCCCAAGGACACGGGGCAGAGGGGCCGGACACCTGCTGGCGGGCACCGTGTGCGCTTCCGGGACATTCTACAGAGGTGGACCAAGGAGGCAACGTGGGCACGTAGCAGCGGGAGACTCCAGTGGGTGAGGAAGAGCTCAGGCGCCATGAAGCACAGGGCAGCCCCTCGGTTAACAGTTCTTCATCACCAGGCTCCGGGGGACGAGAACCGGAAATGCCTGGGCACTGAGAGGGAGGCCAGGAGTGCAGGCCGACTTCCCGGGGTCCAGCGGAGCTGAAAGGGGGCACCGGGAGTGGCACTCTCCCACGAAACCCACAGCCCAACGGCTCTAACCCACGCCCCTGGCCGCAGAGTGAGAGCTAAGAGCACTTCTGGGCACTGGTCCCTTGAGATCCAAGTAGCAACTGGCCACTAAGTCACCCACCGGGCCCCAGCTTCCATTTTCCCCGTTATCTTCCAGTCACGGCTCTCCACAAGCTTTAAGTGAGTCTATGATCCCCTCACGAGAGAGGTTTTTTGGAATTTTGGTTTTGGGAACTCACCCGGAGGTGCTCAGGGATCAATCCTGAGGGGGCCATGTGGGCCGCAGGGGATCTAACTCAAATCGACTGCATGCCAGGCAAGCACCCTACTTGCTGTCCTGCCTCTCCAGGCCTCAAGCCAGAGGCTATTTTCGCATCCCTTTCCGCAAAGTGTGTGACCATGAGGAGTTGGACGATCTCAGCTCATAGCCTTGATTGACTGATGGGCTGATTTTTTGGACCACGCCCAGTGATGCTCTGGCTCTGCACTCAGGAATTACTCCTGGTGGTGCTCGGAGGACCACAGGGGATGTGGCGGACAACCCGGTTGGCTGCGGGCAAGGGAAATGCTCTCCCCGCTGTGCTCTGGCTCAAGGCCCCACGACCTTTAGAACCGAAAGCAAATGGGGGGCGGGAGGTGATGAGTGTGCCGAGACCCTGCGTTCCCACGAGGACCCCCGAGAGCTGGCTGACGATCTCACAGAGTCCAATCTTTCCTAAGCCCTCTGGGTCTCTCTGTCCTACCGAAGAGAGAAAAACTAACTTCTCTTTGGAGCCCCTTTTGTTACAGAAGTTCTGCTTGTGGCTTACCGAAACTCAAGAGCCCAAGGAGGATGTCGGAGGGGAGCCCTCGAAGGACTCAAGACAAGACCCTAGAAAGACCCATTTCCAATTCACGTCAGCTCGCAGGTTAGGAAACGGCCGAGCAAGCCAGCCTCGCAGCCCTGGTGTCCAAGAGAGAGGCCCGGCCGCGGCCGAGTCCAAAGGGCCCCTGTTCTGGGCGCCTGTCCACGGCCCCTGGCAGGCGCTGCACTCTTGTGTCCTGCCAGCTCCCAGCTGGGCCCTCCCACCCTACCTGGGCCCCTGAGGCAGGAGGGCTCCGCCCCTCCCATTCCTCATAACTATGGCTCTTCAGGACAGGTCCGTGCCCAGATGCTGGGGGCCGACAGGTGAAAGGCAGGAAAGGGGCGTCCAGAGTCCAAACCGAAGGCCAGGCAGACTCCGTGCCGGCCCCGGGCCTCGGGGCGGGGTCCCTAGCGAAGGCCGGCCACGGGCACCTGCTGCTGCTTGCGGATCTTGTTGAAGAGCTCCATGTACTGGGCCATGGTGTCCGCTGGGCTGTAGACGGCGTCCTGTCTGCTCGTGAACACGGCAGGGGCCCCGGGGGTGTGGCTGCCCAGGAAGCTCTGGAGGAACTCAAGCAGCAGGTTCCAGCAGTCCCCGGCCACCACGCAGGGGCCATAGTCCACCTGGGGGTCGAACAGAACAACAGAGGGGCTGGAGAGCCGGCGCCGTCCCGGCCCGCGACATGAGGGGACCCGAGATGGAGCCCTGGAGCATGGCCAGGAGGAAGCCCTGTGGGGCCGGATGACAGTCCGAGGGGAGGGCGCCAGCCTTGCACACAGTCGACCCGAGTTCAATCCCCGGCACCCCAGAGGGCGCCCTGCATCGCCAGGAGTAGTTCCTGAGTGTCAGCCCTGAACACCACTGGGTGTGGCCCCCCAAAAACAAACAAACAAAACAACAAAAGGGGGGAGGCCAGAGAGGAAAGCAAGGGGCTGGAGCCATAGCACAGCGGGTAGGGTGTTTGCCTTGCACACGGCCGACCCGGGTTCGATTCCCAGTATCCCACATGGTCCCCTGAGCACCGCCAGGGGTATTTCCTGAGTGCAGAGCCAGGAGTAACCCCTGTGCATCACCGGGAGTGACCCAAAAAGAAAAAAAAAAGAGAGAGAGAGGAGAGCAAGGCCTGATCGACTCATGCATCTTCCCTCGACCCTTGGGACACGCGCCTGCCAGCATAGCACTGCTCAGTGGCAAACGTCCAGGCCTGGCACCACAATTCGACACCCCAGCCCCAGCCCGTTAGGAAACCCAACATTTCCCTCTTAAAGTTCAACGACAGCCCTGTCCCCAAAACCCAGGGCCCCCTTCACTTTTCTGAAGGAGGAAGAGAGAGATCGGCAGTGGGTGGAGTGTGAACGCAAGCTCTTAAGTCTCTCCCGAACCAAGTATTCTACACAGCCAGGGACACTGACCCTAAAACAGTAACTTTTCCCAACCATTGTGCCAGGGGTCCGAGAGAAACACCTTAATTACCGGGAACCCTCCAGGGGACATCAACTAGAGAAGAGTAGTGGGAGTGTGTGTTCCGCTGGGTTGGAGATGGGGTGGGAACATGACCCCAAGGGTCTGGCAAGGACAGGGTGGGTCACGAGCTTAAAAGAGGCAGGGAATCTTGTCACGTGAGGGCTCTGAGTCCCAGAGCAGGAACTGCCACCTATCTCCACCTGGAAAGCTCCTCCTGGTATCTTTTATCCAGTCTCTCTACGTTTGCAAAATACTCTTTCTCCACTTGCTGGAGCGACAGCACAGCGGGTAGGGTGTTTGCCTTGCACGCAGTTCACCCGGGTTCGATTCCTCCGCCACTCTCGGAGAGCCTGGCAAGCTACTTAGAGTATCTCGCCTGTGCGGCAAAGCCTGGCAAGCTCGCTCCCCGTGACGTATTCGATATGCCAAACACAGTGACAACAAGTCTCACAATTTGTTGTGAGATGTTACTGGTGCCCGCTCGAGCAAATCGATGAACAACGGGAGGACAGCGCTACAGTGCTCGACGTTGTCAATCCATCCTCAGCAGTCCTACCACCAGGAGCCTCTCGATGACCCAATAAAGTCTGAAAGTAATGCCCTTCTCTAAGGGTGGGTGTGAGAGGGGAGGAGGGGGTGGGAGTGAGGCCCTCCCAACGGTGCCACCCAGCAGTGCTGGGGACCAAGCCCGGCCTCCTGCAGGGGAGGCTCTGGCACTCTCCCGTGCCCTCCCGGGCAGCCCGGCTGCCTAAAGAAGCATTTCCCCCCGCCTGTGGGGAGCCGGGCACTCTATCTCCCATCCCGGGCTGGAGTGTCTACGGGATTCCCGAGTAGGGGAGAGAGATGCGGGGCGCGGGAGAACGAAGCGGGGGACAGCCGACCCCTCCTGCTCACCCCACGGCCAGACGGCCAAAGCCTTACCTCCACGGAGATGCCGCGGGCACTGGGCCCCATGGTGACGGTGCCCACCTTCACGAGAAAGTCACAGTACTGGTAGCGGGTGCCCCGGGTCTCAATCTTGCTGGCCTTGGCACTCTGGAAAAAGCCCTTGAGCTTCACCATGAGCACGTCGAAGTTGGTGTCGGCCACGAGGCAAGGCCCGTTCTCGAAGAGGGCGAAGCAGCTCAGGGGGTACTCGGAGTTGTGCATCACGTACATCAGCTTCCCCGTCTGACCTGCGAGGGACACAAAGGCGCTCGGCAGGGACCTCGAGGGGCAGAGCGCGGGCCTCACGTTCATCCCCGACGCCGCACGGGCCACAGTGGGCCAGTGTCCGAACCGCTCTACTACGGCCCTGTTACTGCTTAAATTTACGAAGATTTTCAATTCTCAGAAATTTAAGGGCTGGGGCTGAGCAATGAATAAGGTGACTAGCGCCAAGCATGCCTGACATCGGGCTGAATCCCAGCACAGAGAGGGAGGACCTGGGAATAAGGGCCAGAAAGGGGGCCTCACAGCTGACACAGGCTCTGCGCACAGGAGCCCAGGTGGGATCCCTGGCAAGAGCACGGTCACCAGCACTGCAGGGAGCAACCCTGACCACAGAGGCTCTGAAGAGCAGCCCTCAGGAATACTATGCAGCTGTCAGGGGAGATGAAGTCATGAACTTTGCTTCTAAATGGACAGACATGGAGAGTATCATGCTAAGTGAAATGAGTCAGAAAGAGAGGGACAGAGAAGGACTGCGCTCATTTGTGGAGTATAAAACAACATAACAGGAGGCTGATACCTAAGGATAGTAGATACACGGGACAGGTAGATTGCTCCAGAGCTGGAAGCCTGCCTCGTGAGCAAAGGGGAGAAGGCAGCTGGAATAGAGAAGGGATCACTAAGAAAATGATGGCTTGAGGAACTGTTCAGGATGCGAGATGTTTGCTGAAAGTAGATCAAGGACCAAACATGATAACCTCTCAGGGTGTGTACTGCAAACCAAAATGCCCAAAAGTAGAGAGAGAGAGTATGGGGAATATTGTCTGCCATGGAGGCAGAGGGAGGGTGGGAAAGGGGGTTTATACCGGGGATATTGGTGGTGGGGAATGTGCACTGGAGGAGGGATGGGTGTTTGATCATTGTGTGATTGTAACCCAAACATGAAAGCTTGTAACTATCTCACGGTGATTCAATAAAATTAAAAAAAAATAATAAAAGAGTAGCCCTCAGGACACTGGGTGTAGTCCCACAACAAGCAAACTTGGGGGGCTGGGGGGGGGGGAAGACTTCAAGCAGTACAACTATAGCTGGAAGATCTGGGATCAGAAGATCTAGTTACACGCCTCAGCTTACCTGCTCCAGTCTCTGAGAAATGATTTTTCTCACTGATACCTTTTCTGTAAGAAGGAGAAGAAGCTATGTGCATTTTGCTAAGTAGCACTGTAACACTGTCCTCCTGTTGTTCATCGATTTGCTCGAGCAGGCCCAGTAACGTCTCCATTGTGAGACTTCTTGTTACTGTGTTTTGGCATATCAAATATGTCACAGATAGCTCGCCAGGCTTTGCCGTGCAGGTGAGATACTCTCAGTAGCTTGCCGGGCTCTCCAAGAGGGGCAGAGGAATCGAACCTGGGTCAGCCAGGTCGGCCGTGTGCAAGGGAAACGCCCTACCACTGTGCTAAGTAGACAAAATCAAAAATCAAAATAGGAAGCAAGATTCCTCTCACACACAAGAGCTAATGGATAAAGTGCCAAAATTCTACATATTAAGTCCTTAAACTTCCTCCAACCCAGGGGCTGGAGCAATAGGACAGCAGGTAGGGTGCTTGCCTTGCAAACGGGTTCGAGCCCCGGCATCCCATGTGGTTTCTGTGCACTACCAGCAGTAATTCCTGAGTGCAGAATCAGGAGTAACCTGAACATCGCCAGGTGCAGCCCTCCCAAACAAAAACAAAACGGTGACAACGGATAACAATGGGGCCAGAATGATAGTACAGCCACCCAGGTTCAATCCTCGCCAACCCACAGGGTCCCCCAAGCATGGCCAGGAGTAATTCCTGAGCACAGAGCCAGGAGTAGCCCCTGAGCATTGCTGGGTGTGACCCCAAAAGCAAAACAAACGAAGAAGCAAAAAGAAGTGCTGGCAACAAAACGCTTTCCCCTCGCCTGGCTAGAGTTTAAGAGGCAGAGACAGGGCTGGGATGGTCCAGGATGTGCAGCGCACGCCGGCAGCACAGGCCCCAGTTCATTCCCATCACTGCATCACTCCCCAGGATGTCAGCCCTGGGGACGAGCACCTCGGCATCAAGCCAGCACCATTGCCAGGTCCAGGATCAGTCCCCCTGGACAGACCCAAAGAACAGCGAAACTTACAAGTGGAAATCTTAGCCCCTCGACTCACAGGGTGAAAGCTTAACAGACCCAAGGGGGCCGGAGAGCGCAATGAGCAGGACCACGCAGTTGCATGGGGGAGGCCCGGGACTGACTCCTGGCCCACATGGAACCCTGAGCACCAGAGAAGTGAGTCCCTAGCACTAAGCCAAGAGCGACTCCTCAGCACCCCTGGGTGTGACTCTAAAACGGAAAGTAAATTCTGAAGGGCAACTTGGTTAGGTTTTGATTTTGGAGGGGGTCAGGTGCTCAGAGGCCACTCCTGGGGCAGTGCTCGGGGGTCTCTCCTGGCAGTAGTCATGATTATCGTGGCATGCCAGGGTTGAAAAGAGACAGAACCCAGCCTCCTGCATTCAATACGTGGACTCGCTAGAGCCCACTGAGCTACCTCTCGGACCCTTATTATTTATTCCTAAGAGAGCACGACAGTTTTGGGTGTTTTTTGTTTGTTCGTTTTGTGGGTTTTGAAATTTGGTTCTATTTGGGGGTCAGACCTGACAGCGCTCCGGGCCCCCCCCGGCAGGGAACCATATACAGTATCGGGGACTGAACCTGAGCTGGCTGCGAGCAAGGCAAGTGCTGTACCCACTGGATTCTCTCTCAGCCCTGTAATGAAGTCAAAACACATTTACTGGGGCCGGACAGACAGCACAGCGGGGAGGGCGTTTGCCTTGCACGCGGCCGACCCGGGTTCGATTCCCAGCATCCCATATGGTCCGCTGGGCATTGCCAAGAGTAATTCCTGAGTGCATGAGCCTGTGCATCACTGGCTGTTACCCAAAAAGCAAAAAAAATAATAATAATAAAATAAAAAAATAAAAATTAAAAAAAAAACATCACTGCAAGAAATGTAGAGACGTGATGGGGAAGAGAGATAGAGACGAGGGTGGGGGGAGGGAGGTGTTAAAGAGAATGAGCTTTTGCGGCCTTTTCTACTGGAGGGCGGTGGGGGCAGGACACACCTGGCTGTACTTTTGAACCTGCACTCAGACATCACTCCTGGAGGTCTTCGGGGACCATATGGGGTGCTGGCAATCAAACCCGAATCGCTGGCATGCAAGGCAAAAGCCCAATGCTATGTGCCATGCTCTGGCCCAGACCAGCCCTGCTTCTTTTTCCCCCTTTAAAACAAACAAACAAACAAAAAAAAACCGGAATCACCATGGGGCTGGAGCGATAGCACAGCGGGGAGGGCGTTTGCCTTGCACGTGGCCGACCCAGGTTCGATTCCCAGCATCCCATATGGTCCCCTGAGCACCGCCAGGAGTAATTCCCGAGTGTAGAGCCAGGACTAACCCCTGTGCAATGTCGGGTGTGACCCAAAAACCAAAATAATAATAATAATAATAAAATAAAACCCTAAAGAAAACCATTTCTAGCCAAGCGGAGACTGAGTGAAGGTGAAAACCTACAGGTCAGCAGGGGCGGATGCAAACCCACCTCACTCACCTTGGCTGCCGAGAGTAGAAGCCGCCGTGTGGTAGGTCTCACAGTCAACACAGAATGTCCCTTGCTTCTCGGCCCCGAGCAGCTCCAGTTTCCGGGTGAGGAGCTCCACGGTCTGCTGGACGCTCTTGCCCTCGGCCACGGGCATCTGGGACACACTGGAAAGACAGGACCAGCCCGTCGGTGACCAGCCGGTACTCCAGAGCTGACCCACAGAAGCACAGCTCCTGACACAGGGCCCGAGGCCGCCTACCTCCACGCCTCCTTTCTCAAGGAGAGCAGAGACTCGGAGGCCCTGGGTGCTCCAATCAGCCAAGGGCCTGCCCGGAGCAGCAAACTTCTGCTCAGCTGCCCTAATGTTTACAGAACACTGGCGTGTGTCAACAGCTGAGAGACTCTTCCCCCGCTGCAGCACTGTGAAACAAACCCGGGGTGCTCCTGGCAGTGCCAGAGAGCAAACCTGGGTATCCCACAAGCAAAACATTTGCTTCAGGGGCTGGAGCGATAGCACAGCGGGGAGGGCATTTGCCTTGCACGCGGCCGACCTGGGTTCGATTCCCAGCATCTCATAGAGTCCCCCGAGCACCGCCAGGGGTAATTCCTCAGTGCATGAGCCAGAGGTAACCCCTGTGCATCACCGGGTGTGACCCAAAAAGAAAAAAAAAATTGCTTCATGCTGAAAGTAGACTATAGACCAAACATGATTGCCACTCAATGCCTCTTTTGCAAACCACAACACCCAATAAGAGAGAGAGAACAAAAGGGAATGCCCTGCTACAGAGGCAGGGTGGGATGGGGGGGATGGGGGGTGGGAGGGATACTGGGATCCATGGTGGTGGAGAACGGGCACTGGTGGAGGGATGGGTGTTTGATCATTGTACAATTGAAACCCAAGCACAAAAATCTGTAAGTCTACAACTGTACCTCATGGTGTCTCACTAATAAAAATTAAAAATAAAATAAAAACAACAACAAAAACAAGACAACAACAAAAAAAATTGCTTCAGCCCTGGGATCTGAAGAGAGAGCAAGAATCAAGTTTATCTTTGGGTGTGAAAGACAAGAGAACTGATATAAATTTAACCAAACTGAGGGTTGGAGAGACAGCACAGCAGATAAGGCACTCGTCTTGCATGCAGCAAATATGGTCCCAGTACTCTATGTGGTCCCCAGGAATGATCCCAGAGCCCAGAGCCAGGAGTAAGCCCTGAGCACCACAGGGGATGGCCCCGAATAAAACTAACAACAAGAACAACAACAAAATTAACCAAAATGAAAGGGGGGGAAAAAAAGAAATACAGTTTCTTAAATTTTCATCTATAACGGAAAAAAAAAACCTGGCTTTCACTTTAGAGTTGGTCAGGGCTAGCTCACATGCTTTACTGGGCACTGCATGGTCCCCCAAGTGTTGCTGGGGGCCACCCCCAAGCACTGAGCAGGAAGGAGTGCCCCTGCATGGCAAGGTGAGGGTCCCCCAAACCAAAAAGGAAATAAAAACACACGAGAAGGGCCTGAGTCAAAGTCAATGAGTAGGACATTGGCCCTGAACACAGCCAACCCAGTTCTGAACCCGGGCACTCCAGATGGTTCTCTGGGCCCCTCCAGGAGTAATCCCTGAGCCCAGAGCAAGCCTTCAGCACCGTGGGTATGGCCCAGAAAAATGAAAATAAACAAGACCACCTAGAGTGGCTACTTCCCCAGTCTGGCCAAGGTGGTAGGCAGAGGCCACAACCAGCAAGGACCAACTGAACGCCAAAACTACCGCCCTGAGTCCCCACCGACTGTGCCCAGGAACTGCCACCCCGAGTCCGCAGCGACTGTGAGCCAGAAGTACCGCCCCGAATCCTCTCCACAGTCGGGAAGAGGGGCTGTTCTTTTTTTGTTTGGGGGCCACACCTCGTGGTGCTCCGAGGTTACCTGACTCTGCACTCAGGAGATCACTACTGCTGGGCTCAGGGGATGATCAGGGCCGCTGAGGATCAAATGCAAGTCAGCCATGTGCAGAGCAAGTGCCCTCCCACCTTACTACATGGTACGGGTCCTTCTCAGGATCACGACCATCCTGTTGTTCATCGATTGCCTCGAGCAGGCCCCAGTAACGTCTCCTTCATCCTAGCCCTGAGATTTTAGAAAGTGCCATATTCAAGGCTCTTTCAGGGTTAGGAGAATGAGACCCATCCTTGTTACTGGCATTTGGCATATTGGGTACGCCACGGGGAGTTTGCCAGACTCTGCCGCGGGGGCAGGTGACATTCGGTAGCCTGCCAGGTTGTCCAAAGTAAGAATGAGATAATAAGATGTCGCAGGGCCGCGGGATCCTTCTATCTTTTTTTCCCCCAGTGGCCCCAGGTTTCCCTCCCACCCACCAACCTTCTCTAAGATGGGTGCTTTATTTACAAGACTTAGGCACTGCAGTTTACACTTAATCACCGATCAGGGACCCCTAGACCTCCTAAGTGGCCACTTCCCTCCACATCGCTGGTTTTCCCTCCCACCCCCAGCAGGTGGCAAGCTTCCTCCTGAAGACCAGTTAGAGCTGGGTGGCCTGACACAAACAAGGAAAATGAAGTGAGGGGTGCTGAGTACCGAGACCTCTCACACAGCACCATGGGATGGGATGTCGCCCCCCTGAAAGCAAGGAACCTGGGTCCACGATGCTCTTATATATCCTGGGAGACTCCTTCCAGAGGAACAGTGTTGCCCGTTAAAATACTTGGGTGGGCGGCAGCGCGTGGGGGAAGGGGGCACGCAGACTGTGCTCAGGGGACCCAATGCAGCACAAGGATCTAAGGGGGGGGGGGGGGGCTCGTGCCAGGCCAAGGGCTTGACCCAGTATACTGTGTCTCTGATCCCTTTAAAAGACTTTTCAAGGAAAGAAGCAGTTTCCGGCAGTGGGTAAAGCGCCGGCCTGACATGTGCAACATCTGGGTTCAATCCCGGGCATCCCCGTTACCCCTGAGCACCACCACCATGAGTGCAGAGAACAAGAGTAACTTACCCCTGAGCACCGCTGGGTATGAACCAACCCGCCTTCAAAATAAAATAAAAAAATAAAATAAAATAAAACGGGGGCAGGAGCGATAGCACAGGGAGGAAGGCGTTTGCCTTGCACGCGGCCAACGCGGGTTCGATTCCCAGCATCCCATAGGGTCTCCCGAGCACCGCCAGGAGTAAATCCTGAGTGCATGAGCCAGGAGTAATTCCTGTGCGTCGCCGGGTGTGACCCAAAAAGCAAAAACAAATAAATAAAACGTCATTTCTTGGGCCCGGGAAGCGCACCTTTTGCACACGGGTGGTACAAGCCCCGTCTCTGGCATCACAAAGTCCCCCCCCAGCACTGCCAAGGGGGTCAGCGATCCCTTCACCCGCAAGCAGAGAGCAAGCCCCCGCGGAGCACCACTGAATGAATGAGGCCCCAGAGCAAAGAAACAACAACAACAACAACAACCACAACCACAACCACAACACCTCCGAGTCACGGTCTCCCGGACCCGCTGCTCCGGGGAGGGGGGCCCAGCCTGGTCTGAGCCCCGCAGTCCTTCGCCCTCCCGGGCAGAAGCATGCCGAGGACAGGGCAGGCGGTACGCATCGCCGGTGGGGTCCCGGGGTCCGGCCGCGACCCTCCCGGGGTCCCCCCCGCACCCGCGCAGGCCCAGGCCACCGTCAGCGCCCGGCCCCATCCGCGCGAGTCCCCGAAGGCCCCTCACGCCCCCGAGCCCTGCCCGAGCCCCCACGCCTTCCTACCAAGTCACTCCCATGGTGCCGGGCGCAGAAGCGTCGCGATCAGAGCGCGGGGGTGGGGGTCTCCGGCCGCTGCACCCCAGGGAAACCCCTCGCAGGCGTCAGTGGCAGGAGAGGCCCGGAAGTGACGTAGAAACCCAGCGCCACGAGGGCTGGGGGCGTGTCCGGGCGCCTGCGGTGACGTCATCCCTCTGCCCCGCCCCTCCCCGGCCCCGCCTCCCCCGGCCCGGCTTGTAGCTCCGGAAATTCCTCCTTGCGTAGATCTCTAAATCCATATCGAGGACTGTCCCCCCCCGCCCCCACGGGAGAAGCAGGGTGCAGGGAGTGTCTTCGAGAGGCCACCTCCGCACCCAGGGCTAGCTTCGGGGCGCGGCGACGCGGGTGGGTGGCGCTTCCGGCCTCCGAGCGCGCGGGGGCGCTGTGCTCGCCGCGAGGCCTCCGGGGGCGGGGGGGGCGCCCGGCGAGCTCCGCGCACGCGCAGTCCCGGGCTCCGCGCGCGTCGCCGGCCCCCACGTGCGTGCTGCTGGACGGCTCCGCTTTTTGGAGCGAAATGCCCAAAATCAAAGCGGCCCGCGGGGCCGGCGGCCCCGAGAAGCACGCGCCGCTGGCCGAGCAGATCCTGGCGGGGGACGCGGTGCGCGCGGGGGGCCGGGAGAAGCGGCGGGGCCGCGGCGCCGGCGAGGACGAGGAGGAGTACGTGGGCCCCCGGCTGAGCCGCCGGATCCTGCAGCAGGCGCGGCGGCAGCAGGAGGAGCTCGAGGCCGAGCACGGGGCCGGGGCCCGGGCCGCGGCCCCCCGGGAGCCCACCACGCGCCTGGGTGAGTGGGGGGGGGGTAGGCGGGAGGGGCAGCCGCCGGCTTGCTGCGGGGGGTCTCGGGGCGGGGGCTGAGCTCCAGCAAGGCCCCCAGGCCCCTCCTCTTGCTGTCCTGCTTTTTGACGCTCGCATCTCACGCCCCCTCCCCCCAATAAAGTTGGAGCAACCGGCACTCCGTGCTCCCCGTTCTCGTAGCTTGGAATATCCTCGTGTTAGGTCGGCCCTAGGGCCTGCTGTCTGTGGCATGCTTCCTGCCGGGCAGGGCTTCGGATGGTCTGACCACAGAGACGAGCGAAACAGAGCTGTTTTGCCTGCCTTCGGGGTCTTGCCGTCTGGCCCAAGAGAGGGTCAGCAGACGCTGACTACGTTTCACCGGCCAAACTGACTCCCTGGTAGAGCACTGCTTTGCACCCGTGAAGCCCGAGGTTCGATTCGTGACATAGTATATGGCCCCCAGGCATCGGCTGCAGAACAGCCCTCTAGCCAGGAGTACCCCCATCAGTATAGCCAAGGGTGGCCCCAAACCAAAAAAAAAAAAAAAAACCTCTATATACTGATAGCATTAGTCTTTGGGAGCATGCAGCAGATGCTAGTTTGATTTCCCCAGGACCGCTTGGTTTCCCCAGACCCTGCTGGGTGTAAACTCAAAACACACACACACGTCCGCACCCATTTGCATTGACAGTTCATATGCCTGGCAAGTTGTTTATCTTGTTTGTACACTGTCGATGTGATAGTCCATGAACATCAAGCTCCATAATGGTGAAATGCCTTGCTTCTCTTGTTGTGGGTCTGTTTTAAGCTCCCTAAGCCGGCAACTGAGTCATCGTTCCTCGGTGGTGATGGTCCTGGCTAGGAGCCAGGGCTACAAAAGACTTTTTTTTAAAGGTTTTATGCCTGGAGATTTGGGAGGTGGGTGCCCCACAGTGCACAGGGAGTACTCCCAGTTTGGGGGTCACCCTGGAGGTGCTTGGGACCCAGGCTTCCTCCCTGTGTAGCGTGTGCTTATTAGCCTGCTGAGCTGACTCTCCTGCCCCGAGATTTTTTTTTTTTTTATTTAGGGACCCTGCCTGACAGTGTTCAGGAGTTTCTCCTGCCTTTTGCTCAAAGCTCACTCCCATGGTGCTCAGGGATCATGTGGTGAGGATTCAACCCAGACTTGGTGCATGCAGCCTGCTGAGCTGATTTCCCTGACCCCGGCTTTGTTGTTTTGGCGGGGGGGGTCACAGTGCTCTGGGGTTAACTCCTTGCTCTGTGCTCAGTGATCATTCCTTTTTTTTTTTTTTTTTTTTGCTTTTTTGGGTCACACCCAGTGATGCACAGAGGTAACTCCTGGCTCTGCACTCAAGAATCACCCCTGGCGGTGCTCAGGGGACCATATGGGATGCTGGGAATTGAACCCGGGTTGGACACGTGCAAGGCAAACGCCCTACCCGCTGTGCTGTTGCTCCATCCCCCAAGCGATCATTCCTGGTGGGGTTTGGGGGCCCATGTGAGAGGCACCATGTGAAACCAAAGTGTTGAGCCTGGTTCAGGGCTGTTTCCCTGTTCTGGTAATTAAACTTTGGGACATTAAAACAAGGTCTGAGAGGGATGACTGGGTAGAAGGTATGGCTCTATTCATTTCCCTCCTAGACTACAGGAAAAAAAAATGAGAGGGGGACCGTATGAGATGCCAGGGGTTGGACCTAGGTTGGCCGCAGGCAAGGTCAGCCCCCTGCCCCCTGTACTCACGCAGCCCCCACCCCCCATGTATATCTTTCTGATACTCTTGCTTTATTCCCTCCCTTCCTCTTCCTTCCCTTCATCGCTGTTGCTGCGCCTGGGATTCAAAGCCACCCCAGAGGGGCTGGAGAGATAGCACAGCGGGTAGGGCGTTTGCCTTGCATGCGGCCGACCCGGGTTCGATTCCCAGCATCCCATAGGGTCCCCTTGAGCACCGCCAGGAGTAAATCCTGAGTGCATGAGCCAGGAGGAACCCCTGTGCACCTGTGCGTCGCCGGGTGTGACCCAAAAAGAAAAAAAAAGCCACCACAGAGGTAATAGGAAACTCTTAGCAAAAGTGGAAGCCACATTCCTGTATTTCTGGAACAGATTGTTCACATACCCATCTCTTTGGGAATGTTCCGTTAATCCAGCCGAAAGGCATTGCTAGTAGGGGCTTAGGGTTCTGAATTTTTTTTTGGGGGGGGGGGGACACCAGTGATGTTTGGTTGACACTCCTGCTGTAACACGTGGCACATGCCTGAACTGTCTCCCAGGTTCTGACTCCGTCGTGGTGGGGGGAAGAGGGCGCCACTGATTGGGATATGGGACACAGGAAGAGAGGGGGTGTTTGGCTGAAAGATAAATTTTGGTCTTTGCTTTTTGGGTCACACCTGGCGATGCACAGGGGTTCCTGGCTCTGCACTCAGGAATTGCCCCTGGAGGTGCTCAGGGGACCATATGGGATGCTGGGAATCGAACCCGGGTCGGCCGCATGCAAGGCAAAGGCCCTCCCCGCTGTGCTATCGCTCCAGCCCCCTCCCAAATTCTTTTGCTGCTCCTCCAGCCTCCTTGATACCTGTCCGGATGCTCACCATCTCCTGCACGCCTCACTGGCTTGGTTTGGTTTGGATTGGTTTGGTTTGGGACCTCGCCCAGTGGTGCTTGGGGGCTCTGCAGTGCCAGGGCTTCAACCCAGGGCTCCATCCAGCGTGAAAGGCACGTGACTGGCCCCTTCGAGGCCCCCTCCCCTGCCCTGCACACTGCATCTTCTGACGCGGAGTTCCTTCGGGCTGGAATGTCAGTGTAGAGTCGGGTGAAGATGTCACAGTCTCCACCCAGTCGACATGCCCTGCAAGCGACTTCACTCCTGCCCGCGGACATACTGCCTCCGGAACCTGAACCGGGCCAGTCTGCTGATGGACCGACTTCCGGCTGGAACTGTGGGGCTTCTGAGGGTTGGGTGCAGGGCTGGGGATGATTCTCTACCGTCACTCGGGCTTGGGTGTTAACTGGGGTTCCTGACACTGCCGTCCCGTTGTGTTTCTCCAGCAGGCTCTGTGTCTCGCGGGCCGTGCCTGCCCGTGGCCTGCTCACCCATGTCCTTCCCCTCTGCTAGGCCCTGGACTGCCTCAGGATGGATCAGACGACGAGGAGTGGCCCACCCTGGAGAAGGCGGCCACGATGGCAGGGCCGGACCCCCAAGCAGAGGTGGTCGTGGACCCTGAGGACGAGCGTGCCATCGAGATGTTCATGAAGAAGGACCCTCCTGCCCGGTAGGCGGGGCTGGGGCAGCTGTGAAGGGCCAGCCTGTGTCCCCGTGTGGGCAGCCCTCAGCCCTTCTCTCAATGGAGGGGCTGTACTCCTGCCACCGCTGACCGAGACTCAGAATTCTCCCCCACCTCTGCTCCCCAGGGTTTGGGTCTGCTTGGAGGGGCCTTTCCATAGCATCTGGGGACACACAGGCTTTTGGTCACTGTTTGTTTGTGGGTTTTTGTTTGTTTGTTTGTTTGTTTTTGGGGGGGTCACACCAGGCGATGCACAGGGGTCACTCCTGGCTCATGCACTCAGGTGCTCGGGGGACCAGACGGGGTGCTGGGAATTGAGTCCGGGTCGACTGCGTGTGAGACAAATGCCCTACCCGCTGTGCTATCGCTCCAGCCCCTGGTCACTGTTTCTGAGCGGTCAGCTCAGTCCTCTGGGCCGTCAGTTTTCCCACCCTAATTTCCATTTGATCCAGGGATTTCCAAACTTGACACTACTAAAATATGGGTGCTGGCTCATTCTTCTGCGCCCTGCTCGTCCCCTGCCCTGGAGTCAGGAATCGAACCAGGACCTCGCATGAGTATGACAAGTGCCCCTGCCGTTGTGCCCTCCGACTGGGTAGTGCTTTGTGGAGGGTGAGCTGTCCGTTGTAGAGTCTTGGGGTCAGAGAGATGGTGCAACCAATAGGGCGCTTCCCTTGCACGTGACCAACCAAGTTCGATCTCCAGCACCCCGTATGGTTCCCCAAGCCCACCAGCAGTGATCCCTGAGTACAGAGCCAGGAGTAATCCCGAGCACTGCCAGGTGTGGCCCCCAAAACAAAACACTTAGCACTCCAGAGCTCTGCTGTGATTTCCCCCCGTGAACAGTGAACGTGGGAACCACCTCCAGGCGCTGCGAATGTCATCACCCCGCCCCCCCCCCACCCCAGAGTTGGCTTGGAGATGACTCTCAGGGGATGGGTGGGGGGTGAGGGAATGCCGATTCGTCTCCAGTTAGAGCAACTGATTTATTTCTAGTGATAATAAAAGACCTGAAAGATCAGTTAGAAGCTGTGTGACTTAAGCGAGGGGAGACCTCTGGCGTCAGCTCCGGTGTCTTGTGTTGGGGAGAAAGCACCCCGCCTGGGTATCACGCGTGAGATTCCGACCTGCAAACTCCCACACCCCCGCCTGGCCTTGAGAACGCGCTCAGAACCCAGGGCTGCTGCCTTGTTGGTTTGGCTTGAGTTTGGGGCCACCCTCGGCGGTGCTCAGGGGTGACTCCTGGCCCTGCACTCAGGAATAACTCCTGGCGGTGCTCAGGGATCAGATGGGATGCCGGGGATTGAACCCGGGTCGGCCGCATGCCCTAACTTCTATGCTATCGCTCTGGCCCCCAGAGGGACTTTTTTTTTTTTTAAATGCAGCGGGGGGCCTTGAAAAGGGTTTTGTTCACTGTTAGTCTGGCAGTAGTGAGAAAGATTGGCCCCAGTCAGTGGTGCCTTTTGAGGACCTTGGTTCACTGTCTGCCGTTTCCCTTAAAGCCGCATGTGGTTTCCTAAAAGCTCCTCGTTGGTGACTTCCTGTGCATAGCGGTGTGTGCAGGCAGCCTTGTACAGACACCCAGCTCAGTGCTCATTCTGCACCGTTACCACAGGCAGAGTGGGGCGGGTTCTGCGTGGAGAGACTGGAGACAGTAGTGTGTGTTAGAGAGTTAGTTCCGTAAACTTTCATTGATAAAAGCCAATGGGGGGGGGGGGGCGGAGCGATTGTACAGCAGATAGGGCATTTGCCTTGCATGCAGCCGACCCAGGTTCGATTCCCAGCATCCCCTATGGTCCCCTGAGCACCGCCAGGAGTGATTTCTGAGTGCAGAGCGAAGAGTAACCCCTGAGCATCGCTGGGTGTGACCCGAAAAGAAAAAAAAGCCCGTGGGGCTAGTGCAGGGATTAAGATACTCGCTGTGCAAGTGGCCAACCTTGGTTCAGCCCATGTACTATGCATGTTCCTGCCTGGCCGCCTCCTCCCCAGTGAAAGGCATCGAGGGGAGCAGTTGTGTCTTACGTCTGCCCCTGAAAGGTGCCTGGCTCCATGGAGTCTTGGCCTGTGGTTGAGAGTTGCCCAGACACTCCGGGAGCTCAAACCGGCATGTTGTCCCTGGAGAGTCCTCGGCTTGGGACGGGTGTGTCAGAAACAGGTGACACCCATCGTGTGCTTGCTCAGACCCCCCCCCCCCCCGGGAATGTGTCACCCCCGTTCAACCTTCCAAGGCAGGGCCCGTTCTCCCTGGGCTGCTGCTGACCAGGGAGCATTGAGGGGTTTGGGGCGTGTGTTTAGACCACAGCTGATGGCGCTCGCAGACCACGCGGTGCTGGGGGTCAAGCCCAGCGCCCTGAGCCCTCCCCACGGCCCCGTTTCCATCCACGTTGTCTGACAGATGAGGGGACAGCTTTAGACCGTGCAGGGAGCAGTGACAGACAGTGATCCTCATCGTCCAGTAAGACCAGGAGTAGGGGCCAGAGGGAGGGTATGGCGGGGCGGGCGCCGGCCTAGCCTGAGGCTGATCAGGTTCGATCCCTGGCGCTGCATGCGGTGCCCTGAGCCAACCAGGCGTGACCCTGAGCACAAGGCCAGGACAGCCCTGAGCACAGGCAGGTATGGCCTGGAAACCAAGATCTGTTTTCGTATGTGAATGTCTGGCCCGGGGGGAGAGAGGGGATGTACTCACCTGCTAGTACTCAGGACCCACTCCAGGTGGTGCCGAGGGACCCTATGTGGTACTTGGGGGTTGAACCATGTGTGCATGCATGTACGAGAGTGTGCATACCGTCACTAGCCCGTGTGTCTGTGTGTGTGTCCTTGTACATGTCCTGCTAGTACCATGTGTCCTGCTGTTTGATGAGGGACTTCAGAGGAGCTCAGCCTGACGTGGGCCAGAGGGGCTCCTGCCAGTGTGCCGAGGTGCTGGAGGGAGCCCTGTCACGCCGGGCCGGGCCGGGCACTGTCTGACACAAAGTCGGGGGTTATAGACACAGCTCACCTGTCGGCTGCATGCACGCTGGGTGGTTCTCCTCTCCTGTGTTCTGAGCTGATTCTGCTTTATCTGGAACCGGAGACCCCCCCCCCTAGACAGTGCTTGGGGACCCCCAGCAGTGGATTCTCAGCCAACCAGGCGACAGTTCAGTGCCAGGGCCCGGGGCAGCTGGGGGCGGGGGGGCTCCCTGCTGCCAGCCAGTGATGTGCAGGGAGCCGTGTGCTGCTTTGGAACGAATAACCCTGACGGGGTGATTATGGGACGGGTGGCCCAGAGGGAGACTGAGGCCCCAGCACCCCGGCATCCCCCTGTATGGCTCTGTGCAGGCGTACCCTGGCCGACATCATCATGGAGAAGCTGACCGAGAAGCAGACGGAAGTCGAGACGGTCATGTCGGAGGTGTCGGGCTTCCCCCTGCCCCAGCTGGACCCCCGCGTCCTGGAGGTGTACAGAGGGGTGCGGGAGGTGAGAGCCGAGAGACCCACGGGGGCAGAGCCACAGAGGGCTGGTGTGTGTGCTGTGAGCCGCCCACCGGGCTCCCTTCCCTGCACCCCATGGTGACTCCCACCCAGACACCCCCTGGGTGTGGCCCCCCAAAGTCCCAGTGGCTGGGCTCACATGCTTCCTGAGCCCCCTGGAGTCACGAATCCCTGTCCCTTGGTTTTCCTGCTGGGAAGGGGGATTGCGAGACCACCCGCATGGGGCACAGGGTGGGGATAGGGGGCCCGCCCTTGCTGCGCCGGGGACTGGCTGCTGGCAGGCTGTGAACACGGGGATACACGGCCCCGCCCAGGTGTTGTCCAAGTACCGCAGCGGGAAACTGCCCAAAGCTTTCAAGATCATCCCGGCGCTCTCCAACTGGGAGCAGATCCTCTATGTCACGGAGCCCGAGGCCTGGACGGCCGCCGCCATGTACCAGGCCACCAGGTGGGGACAGGCGGGTTCCCTGCCGTGGCTCTCAGGCCCTCAGGCGCCGCCTTTTACTGACCCCCTGCATTCCTGCCCGATGGAGCGGGGGTGGGGGGGGCAGGCCCTTCGCCCTTTCTTCTCTGCTCTCGCACGGCCACAGCCCGGGGGCCCTCTCCAGACTCCCCGCATCACCCGCCTTCTCCCTCCCCGCACCCGCAAACTAGGATTTTTGCCTCTAACCTGAAGGAGCGCATGGCCCAGCGCTTCTACAACCTCGTGCTGCTCCCACGGATCCGAGACGACATCGCCGAGTACAAACGCCTCAACTTCCACCTCTACATGGCCCTCAAGAAGGCCCTGTTCAAGCCCGGGGCCTGGTTCAAAGGTGACAAGACGGCCCGGGGCCAGGGAGGGCTGGCCGGGGGTGCCCTCCCGGCCGACGGCCGACACCTGTCCGTCTGTCCCCGGGCAGGCATCCTGATCCCGCTGTGCGAGTCGGGCACCTGCACCCTCCGGGAAGCCATCATCGTGGGCAGCATCATCACCAAGTGCTCCATCCCCGTGCTGCACTCCAGGTACGGCCCACCGGGTGATGGGGAGGAAGGGGAGGAGGAGTTGGTGTCACCCGGACACGGGCCGCTCCATCCAGGCGTCATTCCTGGCCCTGGGCGCGCTGCTGGGCGTGTCCCGAGAACCCGACTTGAAACTCGCGTCGTCCCCCACCCCAGAACAGGCGGGTGGCCCGGGGCAGGGCGGAGAGCACTGCAGGCCGAGCCCTGCACCCGCATTGCTCGTGGGAAACTAGGCCCCGTCCCCAGACACGGCTGGCCGTGCCCACCTCCCCCGTGAACGTTCCACCTTGGGTGTGGGGATGTCCGGGGCGGGGTGGGGAGACGCCCCACCTAAAGCCGCCCCTGGCCCACAGCGCGGCCATGCTCAAGCTCGCCGAGATGGAGTACAGCGGCGCCAACAGCATCTTCCTGCGTCTCCTGCTGGACAAGAAGTACGCGCTGCCCTACCGCGTGCTGGACGCCCTGGTCTTCCACTTCCTGGGCTTCCGGGCGGAGAAGCGCCAGCTGCCCGTGCTGTGGCACCAGTGCCTGCTGACGCTGGCGCAGCGCTACAAGGCCGACCTGGCCTCGGAGCAGAAGGAGGCCCTGCTGGAGCTGCTGCGCCTGCAGCCACACGCGCAGCTGTCCCCCGAGATCCGGCGCGAGCTCCAGGGCGCCGTCCCCCGAGACGTGGAGGACGGCCCCGCCGCCATGGACTAGAGCCGGGCCGCGCCTGCTCTCTGCCCCAGAGGACGCGGGCAGGCCGGGGGGAGGCCGCGGGACTCTGCAGACGCTCCTCCGTTGACCTCTGGCACCTGGCACCACGCCCCGGGGGCCGGAAGCAGCAGGGCGGGGGATTCATCGCACTCCTGTGTCTCCGGGTGACGCTCTTGCCCCGCTGCCCCTGTCCACGGGAGATGGGGGAAGGGGGGCTCCGTGCTTCCCAGCGTGGATCCTGACCCGCGTACCGAGGGTGGGTCCCCTCCCTCTCCTGAGGTGTCCTCAGGCCCTCCCCACCCTGTTAAGTGCCGTGGCATGGAGGGGGCGTCCTGGTGGGCGGGAGACCCCAAGGGGAGTGGGGGTCCGCGAGTGACGCAGAGCGGGCCAGGCAGGAAGGGCCTGCCTCAGCAGCAGTGCTGTGGGTCGGATGCGCCAAGGTGTGAGCCTGGCGCCCTGTGTGGCCCCCACACCCCAACAGGAGGCATCCCTGAACACAGGCAGGAGTGATAGGCGTGAACTCTTGAGCACTGGGGGGGTGGCTCCCCAAAAAGCTAGTTCAGGGGTTAGTGGCGAAACACCCAGTGTTTGAGCCGAGGCTGATTTTTAAGGGCTTGCTCTGCGCCCTGAGTCAGTACGGAATCCCTTGACCCAGCCACCCACTTGCTTCACCTCTGGACTGGGAATCAAGCCCCTCTGGCACCTCAACTCCGCGCCCTCCCACTCCCTGGACCAGGGCAACTTCAGGTCTTTGTAAAATAAAGGACCCTATTTATTGTAGCTCGTTTCGCCACTTACTGTGCAAAAGTGATGCTAGCATATCCTTTGGGGAGTGCTTGGCTCTCCACCAGGCGCTGGCCACTGAGCTGGCCTTTTGACATCACAACCTGCTCTTTAGACCCCGGGATTCCCATTTTATACTGTTGATGTGGAACGCCCAGGTTATCCTTACTCAGCACCACCAGGGTGGGGGGTGTGTCCCCCACCACCAAACCAAGAGCCGCACCTCAAAGCGGATTTTTCCCATAGCTCTCGGGTTCTCCTTAGGCATCGTGCAGTGATTCTTTTAGGGATATGTCGTGAAACAGAAGTAATGAGGTCAGAGATGGCCCACAAAATACTTGTGGAAGAGGCTTGGTGACTTCTAGAGGGTGGGGGGGGGTCACTAGTAGTAGAAGGGGAAGGGACCCAGCGCCCAGGGCTCTCCCTGCACCTCCTGCACACAGGGAAGCCGCCTGGAAGGGAGCTTTTCCCCCACCCCGCCAGCTCTGCAAGGAAAGCCGAGCCCTTTATTACAGAATCTTTATTAAGGTAGCTTGATGGTCCCGGGCCACCGGCCGGGCCTGGACCTTGTGACCGTAGGGAAGACCTGTATGATCGGGGCTCGCCCCTCTCCGTGCAGAGGATGGGGCAGGGGGGGAGAGGCGGCCCCACCCAGGTGTAGCAGCTCCTGGGCCACAAGATCCTCTGGCCAGCGGCAGAGGGGGAGGCAGCCGGCGCTCAGGCTATAAGTTAAAGCTACCTCTTGTCTTCGGCGGGAAGCAAAGCACGAGGAATTGGGGTGGCTTCCGCTTGCCCCTCTGCTGAGAAGAGCCTCAGCCTGGATCATTTCAGGGCTTCCCCGGGGGTGGGGGTGGGGAGGCCGCTGTCTAGGCACGCCGTTCCCTGGCACACCTCCCTGTCAGAGACAGCGGGAACTTGTGCGGGGAGAGAGACCCCAATCCAAACGTCATAACGAGAAAGGGGTCGTCCGGAAGGCACCGAGGGCAATTTTGGCAGTTGAGAACATGAGACATCCCTCTCCCCCCCTCCCCAACCCCCGTGACAAGAGAAACCCCAGAAAGTTACGCTGGTGCACGTTTTGCATAAGTCTGAAATCGTCTGACCAGCCAGACCCAAGGCCAAGTAAAAGGGGGGGGAAGGGGCTGAGCTGGTCAGAGGCAGGGGTGGAGGGAGAGGGGCCGGGGAGCCCCTTAGTGCACTGCAGGGAGAGGGTGGCCCCCGCCCCCTCGGGCTGGGCGGTGGGTGGGCAGGAAGGAACCCCCGTCGGGCTTCTGGTGGGCTCGTTCCTGCGACGGGTGGGGGGGGGGGCAGGCACGGACGGCTACAGGTGGATGGCGGTGACGTCTGTGGGAGTGCTGGTCTGCGATGGGCCCTGGCTGCTGGAGCCCCGGGGGGCTTTGGGCGCTGGGCTGCCCGAGGTCTGGGCCGCATCCCTGAGGCTCTCCCTGAGGGCGGCTTCTATCTGCTCCTGACAGGCCCGCAGGCAGTCCTGGGGAGAAGAGCGGGAACGTGAGGGGGCCTGCTGGATGCCCGCCCCGGCGGGGAGGGCCACTTCCCTCCCCGGCTCAGGCAGGGCGGCAGATGAGGCCACAGCCCAGCCCCAGGAATCCGCCTGCGATTCTCAGAAACTGGCAAGAGGATGTGGCGAGAGGGTGTGAGGGCTCCCAGCTCGGCACCAGCCCCCACCCCTGCTCTGGCACACCGTTTGGCAAGCAGGGAGGGCCCCGGGAACGGTGCCCGCCTGCGCAGCCCACCCGGCCGGGCCCTGCTCCCCAAACAATGCGGGCCACAGGGCTACACCAGCACCAAGGCGGGGTGTGAATCCAGGGGCCAGGCCCAGGTTGGAGGGGGGTTGGGTGGGGGTGGGGTGGACGCCGCCCTCTGCTGGAGGCTCGGGGAATTGCGCCCGAGTGCCTAGTGCAAGCCCCAAGTTCCCACTCACCACTTCGGTGCCCGTGATCCCGGCCAGCAGCTCCGTGAGCTCATCGCCCGAGGTGGAACAGGCCCCCAGGCCCTGCACCGCAGCCCCGATGCTGCCCGTGGCGATCATGGAAGGCGGGTACATGGCAAAGGTGTAATCTTAGGAAGAGAAAGAAGGAACCGTAAGGCAGGGGGGAATTCCAGGGCCTCGGGTATACCCCCTAAGAGCCTGGGGAGCACGGTGGCCAGGGGGGCGTGAGACCCAGAGGCTGGAGCGATAGCACAGCGGTAGGGCGTTTGCCTTGCATGCGGCCAACCCGGGTTCGATTCCGATTCCCAGCATCCCATAGGGTCCCCCGCGCACCGCCAGGAGTGATTCCCTGAGTGCAGAGCCAGGAGTGACCCAAAATGCAAAAAAGAAAAAGAAAAAGGCCCCTTTCCTAGGGAGCACCATGGTGGACAGCTGACTCCCAGAGGGCAGGTCCATGGAGGAACATGCACCCACTCAGAGGCCAGCGCCACAGAACAGCGGGGAGGGCATTCGGCCAACCCAAGTTCGATTCCCACTGACAGTGACTCTGTCCGTGAGTAGGTGCTTGCCTTGCATGCAGCCGACCCGGATTCGATCCCCAGAATCTCACATGGTCCCACGAGCACCACCAGGAGTGATCTCTGAGTGCAGAGCCAGGAGGAACCCCTGAGTAACATTGGTATAGCCCAAAACAACAAAAAAAGTGACCCTGGCCAGAGACCAGCCATCCGCCAAGTCCTCCCCTGGTGTACAAACAGCAGTTATCCCCAGGGTTGGAGCTAGGGGTTCCACGCCCTAAGCAGCAGGGGAATGGCCTTTGTGCCCCGGGCGAGGGAACCCCACCACCCCTGGGCCTGGCCCTCTTCCCCCACTGGTCAGTCCTTGGGCAAGTCTAACATCAACATCCTCCCCAGGCCCAGACATCCGCTCCTGCTCCTTGGGACGCGGTCTGGGACTCCAAGGGGTTCTCAAATCCGTTTTAGGTGGGGAGTGCATTTGGGCCACACCCAGAACTGGGGTGGGGGGATTCTACTCCCAGCTGTGTTTGGTGCTGAGGAGGGCCTTGAAGCACTGGGGATGGAACCAGGCTCAGTCACACGGAAGGCCCAACCTCCTGGGCCAGCTCTCCAGCCCTGAGAAAAAACATGCACCCACTCAGAGGCCAGCGCCACAGAACAGCGGGGAGGGCACTCGGCCAACCCAGGTTCGATTCCCCGGAACCCCTGATGGTCCCCCCCCCGAGCACCATCAGAGTGATTCCCCGGTGCAGAGCCAGGAGTAAACCCCTGTGCATCGCCGGGTATGGCCACCCTCCACCCAAGAAGCTCCTCACCATTCCCCAGACTGATTTTCCCAGCCTGGCCAACAACAAGACTGAAATCGGCTCTCACCTGTGGCGCAGAGGGCCAGGAAGGTCTGGGCGTGCTTCCTGACCAGGGCCTGGCGGTCTCGGGGCAGCGAGAGGCGGTGCAGAATCAGGGCCAGGAAGTCCTGGGGCGATCACTGCGGCCAAGTCCCCACTTAAGTTTCCCCAGCACCAGGCACCTCCCAGTCCTGCGGGGTGTGAAGGGGCGAGTGGGTGAGGCAGGGGTCTCGGGATGTCGGGCTTCAGGGGTGCCCTGCCCTCTGGGACTCAGCTGCCCAGCGGCGGGGGCGAACTAATGCCTAACTCTGCTCATGGCCAGCTAGCGGAACCAGCCTTGGGAATCGGTATTGGGCTGACTGCTTCCTGCCGGGTTTTGAGTACGAGGTTCGTTAACCCAGACTCAGCCTGACGCCTCCCAGGGCAGAACCATCAATCCAGACCTGTCTGGGGCAATCCGCCCGCCATGGCTCGGGTTGGGCATGCTGGGAGGCGAGCGCTATTCCCTTCCCAAAACTCTGCCTCCAGGGCTGGAGCGATAGCGTTTGCCTTGCACGCGGCCGACCCGGGTTCGATTCCCAGCATCCCAATATGGTCCCCCCTGAGCACTGCCAGGAGTAATTCCTGAGTGCAAAGCCGAGAGTAACCCCTGTGCATCGCCAGGTGTGACCCAAAATGCAAAAGTAAATAAATAAAAACTCTGCCTCCAGTCTGCTGCGCCCCTTGAAGGCCCGGGGTAAGCCTGGGGCACTGGCCTCCCGCCCAACTTCCTCAGGGAGGGTTGCCCCAACCCAACCCACATCCCCTTGGTGGGACCTCGGGGGTGGGTCTTGAGGTCTGGCACTTGACTGCCACCCCATCAGCGGGAACCCACCACGCCGAAGGCCCAGCTGAGTCTTTAAGAGGTGAAGGCCAGGGCAGGAGGGACCCTAGTACCCCCGAGAAACCCAAAGTCCTCTCCACCCCCAACGTGCCCCAGATCATTTTCCACCACACTATGAGGTCCTGGAAGGAAGGTGGCAGCCACACCCCACCAATCCACGGTCCCCGAGTGCCCAGACTGGCCCCATTTCTGAGTTGCAAATGGAAGAGTTTCTTCACGGTTTTATCTCAGGAAGGGAACTAGTGGGTTTGACCCCTCTCTGATGCAGACTTGGGCAACCCCCCCCAGAGAGAACCCAGCCTCTCTTGGAGTCGGCCCCCCCACCCCCACCCCCACCCCGGGCCTCAGCCTTCCCTTTCCTGGTCCCAGCCAAGGGCCTGTCCTCCCCCTCATCAGTCCCCAGCTTCCAAAGTTCCAGAGCAAAGGCTGAGCTGTGGAGCCAGACACGCTGGGGGGGTGGGCGTGGGGGACTGTCCTAGGGTCCAAATCCCAAGTCGGAAGGGGAGCAAACGCCTGGAGGCTCTGGGCAGGCACTGACCTGGGGCTTCCTGAATATAGGGTGTCCCAGTCAGACGGGACATGGTCACCGCACCCCTTTCCCATATCTAGGGACCCCCCCACTCAGGCCTCGCTATGCGAGGAAATACACCCCTAGGAGCTAGCAACCAGAGCCTGGAGCACCGCACACTGGCTTATAAGGCCACAAAGCACAGGCCGGCCCCATCCACCCAGCGCAGGGCCGGACCTGTCCCCCCTGCTCTGGGCCTCAGCCTCTCTGGCGTGCCAGGACTCAGCCGCTGTTTCTCCAGGGTCCCTTGCAATGAACTGACCTTCTTCTAGAAAGGCCTCTGAGGCCCCACCCCTGGCTCGGGCAGAGGGACAGGGGTGGGGAGCGGAGTCCTTTGGGCCGGCTGGGGAGCAAAGGCACCCTCCCAGCTCCGGCCCACACCGCGGGGAGTGGCCCCGGCCGCCTCCCAACCCCAGGCCCCTCCAAGACTCCTGCTGCTGGGCTGGCCGGCCCTGCGGGCTTGCCAGGATCGACCAGCCTCCTGGAAAGCGCCGTGGGGGCCTCCCGGGTTCCCAAGCGCCCGGCCCTCCCTCCTACTCCCATCCCTGAGAGCGACTTGGCAGGAAGAGGAATTCTGCCGCTGCAGCCGGGGGCCAATCACAGCCGCCCGCACGCCGCCCTCCTCCGGGGAGATGGGGCCCCCGGGACTCCCCTCGGGTCAGGAGCAGGCCTGGCCGCGGGCGGGCGGGCAGCAGAGAGGAGGTTGGACAAGCCCAGCACCGCCCCGCTGCTTCCTCGCGGGGGGGCTGCGTGGGGAGGGAGGGGCGCCCCGGCCAGAGGCGGCTGCTGCTGCGGGGAGCCCACTTCCCAAACCGCAGGAGAGTCAGCAGCTCCCCGCGGGGTGATGAAAGACCTTGGTCCGAGGGGGCGGGCCGGGGGAGGGGGCAGCATTATCGCATCGGAAGCAGCTGCAGCGCCCCGGGCCCCTCCTCCAGCCGCCGCTGGCCGGGTGTGGGGGGGAGCGCGGATTCCACGGGCCCCAGCAGCAGCAGCAGCAGCAGCAGCTGCTGCTCGGGCTTCTCAGGAAGCGCCGCTGCAGGATTAGGGCATCCCCCACCCTCCCCACCCAGGAGTCCCCAAGGTGGGCTGGGCGCAGCGTGCACGCGCGCGCGCGCGCGGCGCCCAGGCCTGGGCGCGCGGCCGGCCACTCTGCTGCATCCCAAAGTCCACGCCGGGCTCCAGGGACGCCACCGCGGCGGCCCCCCTCCCCCACCCGGAGCACATTCCACTCCCCCGACTCCGGTGGGGGTGGGCATTCACGTCCTGCCGCTGCTGCTGCCAATAAATAACTCGCGGGCGGCGGCTGGCTGGGTCAACCCGGCGGCCAAGGGCTGCCGCGTGGAGACGGGCGCACCTTGGTGCGCCGCCGGGTGGCTCTCGTGGGGGGCGGGGGGGGAAGGACCGCGACTGAGGGGCGCCTCTCCCGGGGGTCGGGGGGGTCGGGAGAGGGCCACAAGCCACCCCCCACCCTGGCACACCGCCCCGCCCGGCTTTTTGTCCCGCGGGGAGCGGGGGGTGGGCTGGGGTGTCCGCACGCACCCGCATCTGGTGGGGAGACACGGCGTGGTCGGTGTAGATGCAGAGTTTCTCGATGGTCAGGGGCTTGGTCTCGCGCAGCTTGGAGGCCAGCAGCATGCACACGGAGCCCAGCAGCTGCAGCTGCGCCTTGCGCGTGGGGACGCACGACAGGTAGCGATCCAGGTAGTTTCATGGCCAGGGGGAAGACTTCCTCCTCGCAGCGCTGCTCCTCGCACACCTGGGGCGGGGTGGGGGTGGGGGGGGAGCAGACCCGGCCGCACTCAGGTGGGGTGGCTGGGTGGGGGGCAGACGCGTGGGGGCGGGGGCGCGAGTCGGCGATCGGGGATGCGCCTCCCCAAGGTGTCGCCCCCCCACTTCCTCCGCTCGGCTCCGCGCGCGGCCGCCTCCTCCTCCTCCTGCCCCCCACCCCCCACCCCCGGGAGGCTGGGGGTGGGGGGCCCGCCGGAGGCTCTCCCTTCCTCTAGGATTCCGAACGCAAGCTCCCCTCCCCCACCGCGGCCGGGGCGGGGGTGCGGGAGAGCCAGCGTGGGGGACCGTCTCCGCGTGACCACCACCACCACCGCCGCCACCTCCTTCCCCCACCCCGGAGCGCGCACACCCGCCGCCGCCGCCGGCGCCCTCCCGGGCCAGAACCCCCCGCGCGACCGACCACCGGAACCCGTTCCGGGGCGGGGGCGGCGGGCCGCGGGGCTTCCCAGGCGCGCTGGGCGCGGGGAGGGGCGCGGGGCCCCGCGGCGGGGGCCAAGAGACGCCGCCGCCACGGAGGCAGCCGGCGAGGGTGCCCGGGCGCAGCAGCGCGGGCGGGACCGGACCAGGCCCGGCCCGGCCGGCCCGGCGCGGGTGGCGGGGGGCGGGGGTCGGGGGGCTGGGGGGGAGGGCCGGGGGCCGCCGGAGCATCCCGCGGGGGGCGGCCGGGACCAGGATGTCCCGGCTGGGCGGCCCCCGGGATGTCCGGAGCCGAGGGCGCGGGGGAGGGCGCGGGGCGGGGGGAGGGGAGCGGCCCGTCGCGGTCCGGCCCGGCCCGGCCCGGCCCGGCCCGGGCGGTACCTCGAGCATCCAGTAGGCCAGCATCTTCCGCATGTGCGGCTTTGATCTCCTTCTGCACGCACTGGAAGTAGGAGGCGCTGGGCACGTAGCGCTCCTCCAGGCGGAGCAAGCTCTGCAGGACGCGCTGGTCCCCCAGCAGCCGCGGGTCGGGCCCGGCCCGGGCGCGTGCCGGGTGCCCTCGCAGCACAGCAGCTCCATGCTTCGGGCGGGCGGCGGGCGGCGGGCGGCGCGGCGGCGGCGGGGCGGAGCGGCGGGCGCGGGGCGGCGGCGCGCGGGGCGCGGGGCGCGCGGGTCTGGCGCTGGCGCGGGCGGCGGGCGCGGGCGCTGGCACTGCGCGCGGAGCCCCGAGCCGACCCGCCCGCGCCGGCGCGCGCCGCTTCCCTGACAGGCGCCCCGCCCCTCGCGACGAATGTAGCAACCGTCGGAATGCGGGACGTCGCCGCGTCCGGGGCGGGGCCTGGCGCCCAGACGGAAAGGGCTGGCGGCCCGGCGGGCTTCCGGGCGCGGGGCCCCGCGGACCCCCTGCGGCCTGGACCCCGCCCGCCCGGCCCACCCGTTTGGCTGCTCTGGCTGCAGAGCGGCGGGCGGCGGGGGTCTGGGTGGTGGTGGGGGAGGGGGAAATTGACTTTTTTTTTTTTTTTGGGGGGGGGACCAACGCTCTTCATTCATTCATCCAGCCCGACTTCGCCCGCTGCGTGCTCTCCGGCCGAGAAACGGGCATAAAACGGCCGGGGTGGGTGGGCCACCCCGGCCGGAGCGATGCAGCACCCTGCGGGGAGGGCGTTTGCCGTGCACCGCCGTCCACCCGGGCACCCCAGATGGTCCCCCCCCCCACCCCCGGACACCGCCCGGAGAGCGCCCTGAGCGCAGGGCCAGGACTCAGCCCTGAGCATCGCCGCCGGGCGTGTGCCCCCCCCCAACCAGACCCAACCCCCAGAAGTTAGGTGCGACGCTCTTTTGCACACGAGGAACCCAAAGCAAAGAACAATTCGGGGTTGGAGCAATAGTAAGTGGTAAGGCATTTCCCTTGCACACCAATGACCCAGGTTCAATCCCCCCACACGAACACCCCAAATGAAAAAGAGCCAAGACAAAAATCTAAAATAACAACTAACAACAACAAAACACCCACAACTCATTGAAATGATGCTTCCACAGAACTTGCTGTTATTTCTCGGCGGAGCTGGGATGGACAATTTCGAGGCTGGTGCCAGGCCAGGCAGTCCGAGACACCCTTTTATACTTACACCCTTACCTCCTCTCCCCATTCCCCCCACCCACCCCCACCCCCAGCCCCCTTTCATCCCTGCCAACCAGGTCCGCTCAGGCTGCTTGGAAATGCAGAGTCCCAGCCGGCTCCGACTTGCTGAGTCAAAAACTTGCCTCTCAGCTCCAGCCCTGGTGAAAGGGCTGCCCATTTCCTTGTTGGTGATTTCCTGAGAAGGCCTGGTCTCAATCAGAAAGGCCACCAGCCCAAAGGCCAGGCATTCGAGGCCTCACCTGGTCACAGCATCAGCTGTGGGCCTCGGACCAGCCTCTGAAATCGCCTTCATTCAGTCCAGGGTGGAGAAAACAGGGTTGTGTTTTTTGTTTTTTGTTTTTTTTTTTTTTTTGCTCAGACTCTGAAATCGTCCAGCTGCTCTTTCTTACTTTCTAGTTTTCCCCCAAAAACTACAAAACACTGACACTCCACACAAGGGTTCCCTACAAGCAAGATACAGATTTGAGGCCTCCGGTTATATTCCAAACAGGCCTTAGGGATCCATAAATCTGCCCAGGTCCCCCACAGGAGCAGAAGTGAGTTACTAGAGAAATAACAGCGAGTTCTGTGGAAGCATCATTTCAATGAGTTGTGGGTGTTTTGTTGTAGTTATTTTAGATCTTTTGTCTTGGCTGTTTTTCATATGGGGCTTGGGGGGGGGGGGCATTGAACCTGGGTCAGCTGCGTGCAAAATAAAATGCCTTACCAACTACTATTGCTCCAGCCCTGAATTGTTCTTTGTTTCGGGTTTTGCTTTTTGGGGTCACACCCGACATCAGCAGCATGCAAGACAAACACCCTACCCACGGTACTATCACACCAGCCCCTGAATTGTTCTTTTTATATAAGAAATTTAAATGGAGTTTCAGTATTACCAAAATATCCATTTGCATTGTAGAAAATATAGGAAATGTAATACACATTTGCACCTTTAAAAAAAGATAACCAGGGGCTGGAGAGATAGCACAGCGGGTAGGGCGTTTGCCTTGCACGCGGCCGACCCGGGTTCGATTCCCAGCATCCCATATGGTCCCCTGAGCACCGCCAGGAGTAACAGAGTGCAGAGTGCAGAGCCAGGAGTAACCCCTGTGCATCGCCAGGTGTGACCCAGAAAGCAAAAAAATAAATAAAAAATAAAAAAAGATAACCAGAGCCGAAGCAATAGTACAGCGGGTAGGGCATTTGCCTTGCACGCGGCAGACCCAGGCTTGATTCCCAGCATCCCATATGGTCCCCCAACACCGCCAGGAGTAATTCTTGAGTGCAGAGCCAGGAGTAACCCCTGAGCATCGTTTAGTGTGGCCCAAAAAGCATAAAACACACACATACACACACACAAAGATAACCTTTTAATGTCAATGTTTATTTTTCTAAAATTGTTCTGTGAATAAACAGACATTTTTAAAAATTAAGATCAGGAGGCTGAAGGTAGAGTACAGAAAGTAGGGAACTTGCCCTGCACACAGATGAACACAGTTCTATCCCTGGTACCCCATATGGACCCCCAATTCCTGCTAGAAGTGATCCCTGAGCACAGAGCCGGGAGTAAGCCCTGAGCACCTACTGGCTGTAGCCCAAAAATAAACAAATAAATAAGGGGCTGGAGTGATAGTACAGCAGGTAGGGCATTTGCCTAGCACACGGGTTTGGGGCTGGAGCCATAGCACAGCGGGGAGGGCGTTTTGCCTTGCACACGGTCAACCAGGGTTCGATTCCCAGCATCCCATATGGTCCCCTGAGCACCGCCAGGAGTAATTCCTGAGTGCATGAGCCAGGAGGAACCCCTGTGCATCGCCGGGTGTGACCTAAAAAGCAAAAAATAAATAATAAGAAGATCATCACGAGGGGCTGGATCACACCCCACTTAGGGGTTATTCCTGGTTCTATGCTCTGGAGTGATCTCTCGCCATGCTGGGCTAAGTGTGGGGGAGAACAGGATCTTATGCAATCTTTAGTGGCAGCGGGATGCAAGACTGGAGTCTTAACCCCTCAACTATCTCCGTGGCCCTGAATTTAAAGGACTCACATGGCCGACCCGAGTTCGATTCCTCCGCCCCTCTCGGAGAACCCTGCAAGCTACTGAGGGTATCTCGCCCGCACGGCAAAGCCTGGCAAGCTCCCCATGAGGTATTCGATATGCCAAACACAGTAACAAGTCTCACAATGTTACTGGGCCCGCTCGAGCAAATCGATGAACAACGGGAGGACAGTGCTACAGTGCTACTATGCCTTACTAATGTAATTTGTCAGACCTGCAATTTATGCAATTTACCAAACCTGGAAATTTACTTCTAATTCTTCCCTACTAAAAATAATAATGTAGGGGCTGGAGCGATAGCACAGCAGGTAGGGCGTTTGCCTTGCACGCGGCCAACCCGGGTTCGATTCCCAGCATCCCATGCGGTCCCCCGAGCACCGCCAGGAGTGATTCCTGAGTGTATGAGCCAGGAGTAACCCCTGTGCAACGCCAGGTGTGACCAAAAAGAAAAAAATAAGATAATAATGTATAGAGGGAGAGAAAGTTCAATCGGCTGGAGCATATGCTGTGTATGCAGAAGGCCTGGATCGATCCTCAGTACCACAGGGTTCCCCGAGAACTGCCTGGACCAACCCTGAACACAGAGCCTGAACACAGGGCTGGGTGTAGCCCCCGAGTACCGTTGGGTGTGGCCCCCCTCAAAAAAAGAAAGGAAGAATACTGTAAAATAGTTTCGGGTCTCTGTCTTTGTGCACACTCATGATTATTTCTAGAAGTGAATTAAATTTCTAGAAGTGGAATTTCTCAACCTAAGGTTATGAAACGTTGTAAGGCTTTTGATACAGTTCTTATTACCAAAGTTCCTTGCCAAGAGCCTGAACCAATTTAATATACAAATCTTAGATATTAAGAAAAAAAACAAAACACTGGCGTTGAGTTTTGTATGATAGCTAAAGAGTTTTTTTTTTTTTAAGGAGTTTATTGTGTCACATATATTTTAATTAAAAAATTTCTGTGTAGGAGCCAGACAGATCGTACAAAAAGTAAGACAATGCCTTAAACACGACCGACTCAGGTTTGATCCCGAGCACTACATACGGTTCCCTGACCCCCATCCAGAGTGACCTCTGGGGCCAGAGTACAGTGGGTGGGGCCCTTGCCTTACACCCAGCCGGCCCAGTGGATTCCCAGCACCCCATATGGTCACCTCCTAGGTCCCTTGATCCCTGAGAGCAGAGCCAGGAATAAGCCCTTGGCACTTTCAGGTGTAGCCCAAAACCCGAAACAAAAGAGTTTATAACCTGAGCACAGCCAGGTGTGCCCCCCCAAAAAAAAAAAAAACCAAAAATACATTTTTTTTCTTTTTGGGTCACACCTGGCGATGCTCAGGGGTTACTCTTGGCTCTGCACTCAGGAATTATTCCTGGCGGTGCTTGGGGGGACCATATGGGATGCCGGGGATCAAACCTGGATTGGCCTCGTGCAAGGCAAATGAATGCCCTACCCATTGAACTATCTCTCTGGCCCCTGAATGACCTATTTCGTTTTGCATAATGCCCACAGCGATTAAATCAAGGTTTATTCACGTTGTTGCAAATGGCAGGACTTCCATTTTTTCCCCAATTGTTGAATTTCTATTGGATACAGTCATACATAGCTTAATGAAGAGGATCTGTCCTGAGAAATGCATCTTTAGGCAATTTTTTTTTGCCATAAATTGCGCCATATGTGTCAAGAAGCATGACTACACAACTTATATGGGACAGCCTCCTTCACATTGAACCCAGGTGGTACAGCAATGACTTACAACTTTTTTTTTTCCTTCTAATTTTTTTTTTTTTTGCTTTTTTTGGGGTCACACCCAGCAATGCTCAGGGGTCACTCCTGACTCTGCACTCAGGAATTACTCCTGGCGGTGCTCGGGGGACCATATGGGATGCCAGGGATCGAACCCAGGTC